ATCATGGCTCACTGCACCCTCCAACTTCTGGGCTCAGGCAATACCTCCACCTCAGCCTCCTGAGTAGCTGGGACTTCAGATGTGTGCCACCATGCCTAGCTAATTTTAAAAAATTTTTTTTGTAGAGATGGAGTCATGCTATGTTGTCCAGGCTGATCTCAAATTCCTGGGTTCAAGCAATCCTCCTGCCTCAGCCTCTCAAAGTGCTGAGATTACAGACATGAGCCACTCTGCCAGCCAGTATACTTGCCCTTATGGAGAAGACACCAAAAAAGATGGTCCTTTTTTCTGCCACTGGATGTTGACAGGTCTGGGACTGCAGCAGCCATTGTAGATTGAGGGAAGCCAGGCCGAGAGCAAAGTGGACACACCGAGAATGAGGAATGTAGTTGAAATGTATCTTAAAGTATGAATAGCATTTATATGCAGAGATGCGGAGATTTCATTACAGGCCAAGCAGAATTGAAGCAGCCAGAGAAGCATGGGCATGTATGTTCATAGATGAACAAATTGGTGCCTTTATGTGGTTATAAACATCTTCAACATAGTATTTGAACATTATTTTCTCTTTATGAAAGAGAAAATAAGGCCAGGCACAATGGCTCTAGCGTTCAAGACCAACCTGGGCAACTTGGTGAGACTTCGTCTCTACAATAAATAGAAAACAAACCAAGTGTGGTGGCACGCACCTGTAGTTCCAGCTACTTGGAAGGCTGAGGCAGAAGGATTGCCTGAGCCCAGCAGGTGGAGGCTGCGGTGGCCATGAGCATGCCATTGCACTCCAGCCTGGGTGACAGAGTGAGGGCACCCAATCAGCCTTATGAGGGGTTCATATGATGAAGAACTGAGGCCTTAAGCCAAAGGGGAGCATCAGCTTTCCAACATGTGAGGAAACCATCCTGGAAGTGGATCCTCCAGCCTAAGTGAAACCATTAGAAGATTGAGCCTCATGAAAGACTCCCATACTAGGACCACTTCACTCAACTAATTTACTCCCAAATGCTAATATAAGATGCTGTATCAGATGTTTGTTTTTGTTCTAAGCCACTAAGTTTAGGACAATTTGTATTACTTTTTAAAAAAATCACAAATCTGTACGTTTGAAAAAGGAGAGGAGGCATTATTTCTAAGGGGTTACAAACTGCAAGGTGACGGCCTCCCATGGGCTGGGAAGCACAGTCTCAGACCAAGATCAGAGACAGAATTTCGAAGGAGGGGTTGGAAGCTTCATGCTGAAGAAGTTGGCTAAACATACACATTCAACAGATTATAGGAGGGGCTATGAATATCCCAAGAAGGTGGTCCTGGTGTGTGTGTATTGAACAAACATGCATGCAGCATATGCATGTTCACTTTAGGGTAGGGACTTAATACTTAAATGTATTAAAGTTCAGCCCTATGTGTCAAAAAGTCCTTTTAGGACACAAAGGCACTCAGTGTGCAGCCTCTGTAAACAAGCCAGAGCAAGTCTATGTTTGGTGGTTTCTAATGAAGAGAAAGTTACTGACATCAGTACTTCTCCAATGGAAACTGTGGTTGTGGCTGGTGGAACAGGGGTCATTTAGTCAGTATCTGGGAGTGAGATGAGTTGTGACTGTTTTAATGTTGCTTCTCTCAAGGGAAGTGCTTGATAGCTGCTAGAGAAGAAGAAAAACCTTGTAGCACATAGAACATAGTGAGACCCCAACTTAAATAAATAAATAAAATTATGCTATTAATGTATTTGTTTTCATCCCTGTATATCCAGTACCTAGAATAATGCCTGGCACATGTTTCAAAAAAGAATGACTTAAAAATACTATAATCAACTAGCCTTTTGAATTGACACTCAAGCCAGGTAAGTAAATAACCATTGGTTTTTCCAAATCTCATTTTTAGGGTAAATGAGACTGAAAGAGCATTTTGCAAGTCTTATGATTAATTTTAAGTGTCTTAAAGAAGTATGCTTAATTTATGAGAGAGTAGGAGGACTGGATCCATTCCTGATATCTTTTTTGTTTTTTTGAGTTGGAGTCTCACTCTGTCACCCAGGCTGGAGTACAATGGCACACTCACAGCCACCACAGTCTTGACCTGCTGGGCTCAGGCGATCCTTCTGTCTCAGCCTTCCCAAGTAGCTGGAACTACAGACATGTGCCACCATGCCCAACTAATTTTTTGACTTATTTATTGTAGAGACAAGGTCTTGCCAAGTTGCCCAGGCCGATCTCAAATCCCTGGGCTCAGGTAATCCACTTGCCTCAGTCTCCTCCCACACCAGGCCTGTAATCCCAATTTTTAAAAAATGTTGTTTTTCCCTGAGTCGGATGTCTGTGCTGGAATGCAGTGCCATGATCACTGACCAACATAGCCTCCAACCCCTGGGCTCAACTGATCCTCCTGCATCAGCCTCCCAAGAAACTGGGGCTCAGGCATGTACCACTACACTTGGCTAATTTTTTAAATTTTGTGTGGAGATGTGGTCTATGTTGCCCAGGCTGGTCCAGGTAATCCTCCCACCTCAGCCTCCCAATGTGTTGGAATTACAGGTGTGAACCACCCTGTGGGGCCTAAAAGGACATTTTGTAAAGCAGTGTTTCTGCAACAATGCAAAGAAAGTTATAACCTTGGTAACGGTAATACCTGTACAATGGGTCCCTGGTAATTTTAATTTTGTTATTTTCTCAATTTCCAAAATCTTTTGTGTGGAAATAATGGAAAGTAGACTTGGAAGTCAAACTGAGTTCACTCAAACTGTTACTTGAAAGTCTTATCACCTTAGCAGTTTCCTCTGTCTGTCTACCTGTGATGAAGGTGTCTGCTCAAGTGGTTGCCTGGACTCCACATAACCATGATTAAGTGCCTGGAGCAGTCCTGGCAAGGGCTCAAAGGCATCGTTAACAGGATCACAAAAATCCAGCTAGACTTTTACCTGTTTTGCTTACCTTTGTCTAGAATTATTATTATTATTTTTTTTTGAGTTGGAGTCTCACTCTGTCGCCCAGACTGGAGTGCAGTGGCACACTTCCGGCCACCGCAGTGGCACACTTCCGGCCACCGCAGCCTCAACCCACTGGGCTCTGGGGATCCTTCCGCCTCAGCCTTCCAAGTAGCTGGAACTACAGGCGCGCACTACCACGCCCGGCTAATTTTTTGATGTATTGTAGAGATGAGGTCTCACCAAGTTGCCCAGGTGGGTCTCGAATGAGCAGCCTCAGGCAATCCACTCACCTCAGCCTCCCAAAGCGCGGGATTACAGGCTAAGCCACCGAGTCCTGCTTTAGAATTATTTTTCTGTTGAAAAGAGATGGCTGCACACTAGTATAAACATCCCAATTTCCTGAATTTCGCAGGGCATATTCTTTTCTATTTTATAGATATAACCTCACCATCTAAAATGATTTCCTTAGCAATTCTGCTAGGCATCACTATAGGACTGCTGCTATGGTATGAAAACTGAAATGGGATCCTGAAATGTTAAGTATACCAGGTAATTCCAAGGATAAATCAAAGCTTCGGAACTATAGTATTGCCTTAGATCTCAAAACCAACTTTCTTGGGCCTTAGAAAAATAGTAACAGAAAATTGTGGGAAAGCCACAGCCTTTGGATTCCTCTACAAGTTACCACCACATAGTCTTGGAAGTTTCCTCATCTCTTGAATCAAAGTTTCTCACTGGAAAACTATGCTCACAAGATTATTGTGTGCAAAGCTATTATCTAGCTGTGTGTTGACAGAGTATGAAACTGATGACCCACTCAGATAATATGTAAGAGCTATTAGGCATAATTCCAGCATCTAAATTTAGACAAAAATCAAGCCTTCATATACCAAAGGCACTAACACGTGCTTAAGTATAAATACACATATTCTGGAAGTACATACTATTCTGTTATAGACAGGAACATGACCAAAAGTTGAGACCATTATTGCATGCCATTTACAACATTTTTTTTAGTGAGTTACATTTTAATTTCAATTTCACTCAAAATAAATATGGGACACAGCTTTCAAAGACATTATCAGAATAGTTTATAGGGAACTAAAACTAGAAAATAAGTTTAGACAAATAGCTAGTAGCTGATAGTTTAGAGGTTGGTAATCAATGCTCGTATAGGATCATCTGGAATAGAATCTTAACTCCTCTAGCTGCTACAGCTAGTGCGAGCTATTTATCCCCTGCTGTGACTCAGTTTAAGTTCAACATATGGTGCTAAGTGCCATATACTGGCACCCATTCCCATACCACAGTGGTTGCCACCAGGATTAATTGAAATAATGTATATCAAATACTCCAAAGTGTGTAACAAAGTAGCAGAGGCCACAAAGAATCAAATTTTACTTTAGAGATGGTATTGCTCTGTTGCTCAGGCCGGAGTGCAGTGGCATGACCATAGCTCACTGCATCCTGCTGACTACCTGGGGCTATAGGTGCATGCCACCACGCCTGGCTAATTTTTTACAGGTGAGGTCTCACTATGTTGCCCAAGCTGGTCTCAAACTCCCCGTGTTAAGCAATCTTCTTACCTCCACCTCCCAAAGTGTTGTGATTAAAGAGGTAAGTCACTGTGCCCTGCCAAGGATCAAGTATTAAACGTCTGGAGGTGGACTATGTCCAAATCCTGGCTTTGCCACTGAGTGACCTTGGTTATTACTTAACCCCTCTGCCTCAGCTTTCTCATCTGCAAGATAAGCGCAGTACCTCCTAAGGCTGTTGCAAGACTAAACCAATTAACATTTGCAAAGTACCTGCAGTGGCAGCCAGCACCCAAAAGAGGCTATGAGTGTCAGTTATTGCTACCGCCACACATGCCCACCCTGGAAAATATAGGGCACTCAGCCAACGTCAGCAATCATATGTGCCTTGGATTTTTTTTTATCAAGTAAATAACGCAGTAGAGAAAAATGGAAATGTTCATTCAGGAAACAAATTTTCCTAAAATAAAACGTAAGAAACCAGACATATTCCATGAAAAACAGAAAATAGCAGAAACCTTAGGAATTCTAAAACCACCTTCAAATCACTTATTTCCATATTTTTATTTGAAAATGTTTATATCAGTACAACGAAACTAAATTTTAGAGACACTGGATGTCATTAGTTTAGATATCATTAGTTTATTATAAAAGAAAAACACGAAAATTATTTACATGATGAAAGATTTCACAACTTCAGTGGAATGGGCAGTTTCATGTTGATGCCATGTCAACAGTGTCTTGCTTCAGTCCACATACTTTCCAAGAATGTCACCATCTCTAAATAAGAAATAATCCTGCAAATAGCGAAACCATTAGTTAAAACAACTAATTGCAAATATTTGGCTTCTTTTCAGAATTTAAGTTTACACACCTTGTCGTCTAGAACTACTTTGGTGCCTCCATACTCTGGGAGAAGAACTTTATCTCCAACTTTCACACTAACTGGTTGAATCTCGCCACCCTTAAGAAAATAAGGATATTTATTAGCAAACACATACAGCTAACTTTTAAATCAATACAATCAATGAAACGTACTCACTCAAATCCATTATGTTAAAAAAATGTACCTGCTGGCTAAGAGATACAATTTACTGTAGAATTGCAGTTCTTCATTCAAAAACATCAATGTAGAGTTACACTTTGAAATAATGAATATCACACAGTGGCTTAAACTAAGACTTGACTTCAGTGTAAAAATTCAAGGAGATATACTGGAAAAGCTAACTTTACAACTGTTAAATATTAACACAATCTACTGACTATGTTAAATGAACCAGTTTTTAAAAAACCGTATAAAAATGTTTGACTTCTTTCAACATATAAAAACTTAAGATTGTATTTCTCTATTTAGAACATATACACCTCTTGTGATTCAGCTTCCTTTCCTTCAAAGTACAGACACGGGGAGAGGGACTACAAGCAGAATACTCACTACCCAAAGCCTTCCTATCATAACTCCAGGACAGCTCCTTACCAGAACTTTCTTTCTCAGAGGCCAGTAGAACAATGCAATTAACATATCTGACCCCAAGGGCACTTACTGTGTACCTTGGCTGACTGATTACAGGCTGAGCCTCCGAGCCTGGCTTCTTTCGATTCTTAAAAGTCCCCAGTTTATCTTGAAGCATGCTCTTTTGTTGACTTTTTTTTTTAAAGAAAATTTTCTTTAAAAATGCCAGGCTCCGTGGCTCAGCCTGTAATCCCGGCGCTTTGGGAGGCTGAGGTGAGTGGATTGCCTGAGCCCGCGGGTTCGAGACCCGCCTGGGCAACTTGGTGAGACCTCATCTCTACAATAAATCAAAAAAATTAGCCGGGCGTGGTAGCACGAGGCTGTAGTTCCAGCTACTTGGAAGACTGAGGCGGAAGGATCGCGCAGCCCGGCACGTGGGGGCTGCGGTGGCAGGGAGCGGCCACTGCACTCCAGTCTGGGTGATAGAGTGAGACTCCAACTCAAAAAAAAAAAAAATCAAGCAATCCTAGAATGAAAGAACGTAATGCAAAGGAACAAAGAGAATGATAAGGAAAACGCTGGTCATTCTAGGTTACAGATTACTATTGAGGCAAATCTTTAATACTTTGAGACCATCAAATAAAACAAGCATCATATTGCAATCGGCCATATAAAATTAGTAATCTCATTTCGCAATCATCTTCTTAAAGACTTGGAATAAAGAATGATATTGAAAATGAGACAAGCTCTATTTTAACAGACCACTGTGAATAACCCAGATGTCTTATGCCTCTTCTTCCCACCATAGTACATAAAAAATAGCGACACCGGAGCCCCATGTACCTTTCCTTTGGCGCCCGAGCCAACGGCCACCACTGTCGCTTGCAAGACCTTTCCCTGAGATTTTTCTGGAAGCATAATCCCTCCCTTGGTTACAGTTTCGGCTGCGCTCCTTTCAACCAATACTCGGTCAAAGAGCGGAAGAAACTTTCTAAATGCTTGTCCTGCCTGTAGGGGAAGAAACGTGGAGATGAAACAAAAACGCAATGGAGCAACGGGCATTCAGCGCCCTGTCCCGACGCGACCCGGCTGGAAAGGGGACACCAGGCCTCGGCTTACGCGACCCGGGGCCGCATCTGCAGCTGCACGCCGTCCAGGTGCGACCCCAGCCTCGGGCCCGCTACGGGCGTTGAAGCGCGCCAGCACCTGCCTAACTGTCAGGGCGACCGAGCGTGCTCCAAGGTCAACCACTTCCCTTCCCAGGGATGTCCTGGAAATCGCCAGGGCACGCGGGGGACGGCCTCTGCGGCTGGGGCCGCGCTCTCTCCGCAGGATCGCACCCCACGGAGGCCCGGGGGCCGGGGCTGCGCTGCGCCCGGGGTCCCGCCCCGCGCGCCGGGCCTCGGGCACTGAGGGCCGGCGGGGTTGCCCTCCAGGACACGGCGGGACCTCGGTACCGCGCGACCCCGGAGTCCTCCCGCCCGGCCCCGGCGCCGCAGGCCGCTGCCGGCCGCAAGACCCACGCGCCGCTCACCATGGCTCCCGCCCGCTAGCTCCGGCTCTCGCGCGGCCCGCAAGGAGAGACGCTCCGCCCGGCCGGGACACGTGAAAAGGCGCTCCGTGCGCACGCGCGCTGGCCGTCCCCGCCCCCACGCGAGCCGAGGGCAGTCCCCGCGCACACCGCCATTCGCCCCCGGGGCCCTGCGCCTGCCTGTGACGCCAGCCGGGGCGGGAGAAACTTGGAGTTTGTTCTAGGCGTTTCCAG